CTATGGGTGGTACCATCCCTCGGCAGGTGGTCCTACATGCTCTAAGAAAGCAGACTGAGCAAGCCACATAGAGCAAGCCAATAAGCAGCACTCCTCCATGGCCTCTACATCAACTCCTGCTTCCAGGGTCCTGCCCTATTTAGGTCCTGCCCTGACTTCCCCAAGCAATGGAGTGTGACCTGAGAGAAATGAAGAAATCCTTTCCTCCCCAGGTTGCCTTTCGTCATGGTGATTTATCACAGCAACAGAAGCCCTAACTACAACCGAAGACTTCTCAAAGGCAAGGAAATACTCCTAAGTTGAACGATTTTCACTGTTATTTCTTTTTTTATGGGGAAAAGGGCTGAGACATGGTTTCCTGTATTCCAAATTGGCCTTGAACCCTGAGCTTCCTGCCTCTACCTCCCAAGTACTGAGATTATAGACATGCTACCATGTCTTTCTTTCCACTGCCCCCCACCCTTGGTTCTGGGTATTTAACCCAAGGCCTTTTGCTTACTATGTATCTATTGAATTCAGCCAAATACTACATTTCAATGAATGCCTCATCTGTAATGTCTTAACCATCAATTTTTTGCCTTTTAATCTGCTGACATAAATAATCTGATTAATCTTGTTTGTGCTGACTTCACTGAAGAATTTTGGAATGACTGAAGACTGAAGAGCTTTGTTTTGGTGTTTGGGGGTGAACACCAGTCTTACAAATGCTAAACACATGCTAGATCACAGAACTATACCCCAGTCCCTGATCAGGACTTTTAAAAACTACTCTGTTCTCAGTTTTTCTATGAATTCATAAATGAGATTAAGAAGAGAAAAACTCACCATTCTGCATGACTATATTATTATTATTATTATTATTATTATTATTATTATTATTATTATTATTATTGAAACAAGGTCTTCCTGAACCACCTGGATGGCCTGAACCTGCTGTACACACCAGGCTGGCTCAAGACTCACGAAAACCCATCTGCCTCTGCTTCCCAGGCACTTAGTCAAGGCCTGTGTTCCCAGGAAGACACACTTCTGCTTCTTAGAAATCTGACTGACTGTGGCCAGAAAACCATTTGAGTTTGCCATGGATTGTTTTATTTTCTGATGAGGCTATCCTAACTACTTTAATGGTTTTTAATGCCTATACATCTATTTTTTACTTCTGATGAGTCAATTTTGATTTTAAAAAAAGATTATTTTAGGAAACTATCCATTTTATATAGATTTTTAAACTTTGGCACAGAGTTATTTTGGTTTCCTCAATTATTTATCTACTTGTTTTCTTTAAGATATATAATATATCTATCTTTGTATGTATGTGTGCAGGTAACTGTGGAGACCAGAAAATGGCATGGGATTCCCCTTGAGCTAGAGTTAAGGGTGGTTGTCAGCCTCCTGTCATGGTTTCTGTGACTTAAGTCCTCTGCAAGAGTAGCAAGCACTCTGAACCACTGAGTCATCTCTCCAGCTCCATATCTGAAGTTTTGTAACCCAGGTGGGAATAGACTATGTAGCCAAGGAGAACTTTATGTTTCTGATCCTCCTGCCTCCACCGCCCACATGCTGGTATTACAGGTATGCATCACCACACCTGATCTATGTAGTGCTAAGGATTGAGCCCAGAGCAGTTCAAGAGACATACCCTCTGAAACTTTCCCGAGCAGGTAAATAACCTTACCTGTCTCTGACTCAAAATATCCAGAACATCAAATGGGTGATTAGAAACAGGGAAGGATGGGAATGGTTGTCCAGCCAGTACTAAGTTACAGTTAAACAGGAGCAAGAATTTCTGGTGTTCTGTTTTACCACAGAGCCATCCTCAAACTCTATGTAGTCCAGACCTTGAACTGATTCTCCTGCCTCCGTCTTCCAAGTGCTGGGATTATATGGTGCTAGGTATACAAGAGTGCAATGCCATGCCTGGCATTAAAAGCATTTTTGAACAAAACTATTAAGACTGCAAATACTTCACAAAACTCAAAACTCCTTTCTACCATTCACAAACATTTTCAAATAGGAAATTAAAGGCTCTATTAATGTATTTATCTGCAAAGAGGTACAAGAAGGTTCCTGAGCCAGGCATGGAGACATACACTTTAATCCTAGCACTCGGAGAGGCAGACAGCTTGAGCAAAAAGCAGCTAACTGTGTGGGAGTTACTTGAAAGGACATAGGACTGATGTGTGACACTCAACAGAATTAACTGTAGCACACCTCTGCTTTGCAACTCTATTTCAAAAATCTTAACCATGGCTAAAAAACAAAGCTCTAACTACTGAGCTGCTTGCCTTAGGAGTGTTTAAAATAGTATAATACAGAAAGAAAAAAGGCTTGCTGAGATCACTCTGGGTAAAGGTGCTTGCCATGCAAACCTGGTGGCTGAGTTTGATCCCTGGAACCCACATAAAGATTGGAGAACAGAATTGACTCCACAAAGTCGTCCTTTGACCTCCATATGCATACCTCAATGTGCACACACACACACATACAAATGAAATAATGTGAACAAAAATGAAGAAATGAGAATTAAAGATGTCAATAATGCAATGTAAGAAATGCTCTTATGTTCCTAAGAGTAACAGTGGCAGAACCAGGTTACAACCGGCTAAGGAGACAATAACTAATGAGTATATGCTCTGCACTGGAAATATAAAACAACTGCTTAGCATATACTGAATGGGCATTTTAATCTCCCCAACACTGCTAGGTGAGTACTGGTATCCCCATCTTACAGAAGGGGAAACTGAGTCAAAACAGGTTAGGTAATTTACAAGAATACGAGCAGACACCTCAGTGGCAGAGACTTTCTCATTTGACTCACTGTGTTATCACACAATACCAGGGCCAGTACGAGGGCTACAAGACAATCAATTTCAGATGGCATGGACACAGCAACTACACCATTAAAGACACTGACTTTAAGAAATACGGGGGG